ACTTGTCAGTCATGGCGGAAGATGGCGACGGAGACTTGGCTGCTCTGATTGCATGTAGCAGCAACAACAGTAGTAACAGCAGTAGCACCAGTAGCAGCAGCATGCAGGTCATCCTGTTCCACTGTGGCTCGCACGAGTGTATCCGTCAGGAGTTTCGCTGTAACGGTGTTCCTGACTGTGCTGACGGCAGCGATGAAGCTGTCAGGGAGTGCGGTAAGTACTCTGAATATCAGGTTTATTTTTACCATGAACTAAGACCTCCCAACGGCAAAGCGACTATGGCATTATCACAAGGACGATGATTTTGTGGTCTTCATGTTGCCTCAATCTTCTTGACGGGTTCTCGCCATAATTTATTGTAGCTAGGTATATGTTATTGTAGCGAGATATATGTTAGTGTAGCCAGATATATGTTAGTGTAGCCAGATATATGTTAATGTAGCCAGATATATGTTAGTGTAGCCAGATATATGTTAGTATTAACATGTTATAGGTTAAATCTAGTTAACTGACTTTAATCAGACTTAATATAAACGAGATCGTGCGTGAGAGAGAGAAAGAGACGTCACCAAGTTAAAGTTAGAATATATATTAAAAGTGTATTCATTACAGCTGAGCTGCAGCGTACGATAAATAATATACATCATATGTCATTTTTCTAAACAGTGTAGAAGACAGCTGTTGCTGTTACAATAAAAATGTTCGCCCACCAGCAGTCAACCAGAGGATATTTGCTTTTCATATAACCGACTTTTATTTTCTAAGTACTGGTGTATGGTGGAGGTAACATACAGGTCTCTGGTGTATGCTGGGGGTATTATACAGGTCTCTGGTGTATACTAGGAGTATTATACAGGTCTCTGGTGTATGATGGAAGTGTCATACAGGTTTCGGGTGTATGTTGGAAATCATACAAGTCTCTGGTGTATGTTCATACAAGTCTCTGGGTCAATTGATATTTAATTTCTGTTTATTTCTGGCGATACAGCTATTGACTAAGTGATGGTGAAAGAGTTTCTTTGTTCTCTTTCGGTACGAGAAGGCCCTTGTGCTAAAAAAAAATATGTAAAAAAAAGGATGCATTAGATTGATAACGCCATGGAAAATTTAAGACTCGGTCCCAAGAGCTAGAGTTTAGCACCCCAACCTCCCACGCTCAAAGAGGTTATTGCACATACCTGACATAATTTTTTTCCAGGACACACAATTCAGTTTTAATTTGATAAAATTGTTGATGTCATTGTACTTGATCCACAGTGAGCATCAGCCGGACATTCATTAAAAACAAAGTGAAATTTAGTCACTCCTGTTTATTCCGCCTCTACATACTCGTAAGCAAAAAAAAAAAAATGGGGGAAATTATCTCTAAAACGTGTGTGAACCGCGTCATATCTGGCTGTTGCTGCCACGTGACTGGTGCGTTGCTTATTGTACACTGATGGAATACCAGCTGAGAGGCCCTTCCTTACTCTCCCCCTCCCTACACTTACGTGCGCATTTTCGGAAATTCTACCCGAGAGGCACTTCCCTCTACGTTTTCCCCACATTCTGTAGTCGTTATTTCTTCTGATACCTTGCTTGTATTACCTACATAGATGGTTGCCGGGGGTCATCGGCCCGCGACCCTCTCTCAGATGAGGTCACCTTAATGCTTGGTTTATGGTATTTCATGCGGATGTGGTTTTGTGGAGCTTTGGTTTTATTTAATTATTTGGAATTGCAAGTGATATAATGTGCTCACTTTATCATATTATTCAGTAGTTTGAGCCTCGGGGTGTACATGGCGTTTACGTTTGTGACGCTTCAGTCAAAATCCCAGGTAATACGTCACATATTGAAAAAATGGGTATTTAGCCAACGTTTCGCTCTACGTACAGATTGGTCAGGTCGCTCTAAGTTCATCAAGGCATGACTTGATGAACCTCTGTACACAGAGCGAAACGTTCTCCCGAACGTTGTCTGCTGCGTGTGTCTTCTCTTCACAATTCTCTTCAGCACTCCAGAACATGCAGTTGAGTTTCGTTAAGCTGGTATACAATCTAGAGGTTACTGGCTTTATTACGAATATTGCATCGTATATTTTAAAACGTGAGGAACAAAAACCCACAATACCGTGACTGGAACAAATACTACTACTTGTACTACTATTTCCACTACCAGCATTACCTCTACCACCACTACTACTACACGTCCTTCTTTCTTCGTCTCTCTTGGTACCGTCCCTGTCCCTCCGCCTATATACACTGGCTCTCTCACTCTCTTGTGTTAGTGTCACTTGTAAATAGTCGAAGTCTGACCGAAACGTCATCATAAGCTTCTCTCTCCAGTGTGCGGGTTATTTTTGTAGTGTTTTAAGATGTTTTATAATCCCCTTGTTATTAATCCGTTTGTTTTAGCGCTAAGCCTTTCGTAATGTGGGCTGCTGGTAGCGCTCAGATAACTACGACTAACTGTAAACAAAGAAAATTATCTTTCTGGTTTATTTGCGAAAAATATTGGGTTTCGTTAAATCTATGGTTTGCGCCCAGCACATTTGAATTGTAAAGTTGTGCGCTTGTTGGGTGTTTCGGGGATCAACGCCCCCGCGGCCCAGTCCAAGACCAGGTCTCGTGGTAGATCAGGGCCTGATCAACCAGGCTGTTACTGCTGGCAGCACGCAAATTGCTTGAAAAGCCCTGTGGTCACTGTCTTGAACACTGTGCTTAATTGTCCACTTATTGAGGAATATAGAGATAGTATAATAACCTGTGTGACATGTCAAGATATCGCATTAAAGAAAATAAGATACTAGATATATTAAGCAAATTTTCTAAATTCGCTTAATATATCTATATTTGCTTAGTATATTTGCTTGTAGCAGATAAGTGAACTGTAGATATAAATCCAATGGTACACCTGTTAATTAACCCTTTTGGGGCCTAGTTCCTAGGCCTTCTGTGTATCCATATGTTCTTGCACTACCCTCTACAAGATGGATATGGAGTGAACAATAACTAGCCACTTCGTTGGTAAAATCTAACCTTAAAAAGTGTTTTGCTGACAGGTGTGAGATACGTGTAAAAAAGAGGATTTTTTTTTTATCGTGATAACGTTTCGCTCAAAGGAGAGCTTTTGAGAAAGCTCTTGCTTGTTACACTGCACATGTCTTTATCTATATACCTGTTCCCTTGTGACTTAATTGATAAAAAAAGGCTCCTTACAGACCAAGCTTTTTCTGAGACAACGTTTCGCTCTGTTTAGAGCTTGGTCAAGTCATGACTTGATCAAATCCTACACAGAGCCAAAAGCTTGATGTGAAAAATGTCTCTTGTCTTCATTACTGTCGACAGAACGCCATTTCACTCCCTCGCAGTGTTAAGTCTGTCGATGGTCGAACACAGCCAACAGCGACTTTACCCTCACCTCGCCTCACAAAAAACTAATTAATCTCTGCTTTATGAGCCAAACTCGCTGACACTGGTTTAACAACAAGAGGCACAGCATTGTTCGAGCCAACTCGACATTCGATTTGGTTATTTACGAGTTGGAAATGGGTGTTAAGGGAAGGAAATTAATGTGGGTCGGAGGCTAGTAGCCTCCCTTGTTGTGATGACGTTGAAGGGAAGGAGGGACTGGCTCCCTCCTTTCAAGGGGAGAGGGAGGAGAGGTGGATGGCCTTTAAGCTGGGGAAGGGCTCTTGATCCCAGGAATTCGAACTACCCTTTCCTTCCTTGAATCAATCCCTGTTATCTTCCACTACGCCCTTCTAGACTAATAATGATAATAATAATAGTAATAATAATTTTTATTTTGCCATCTTTCTCTGTATATACCTCCGCTTGTTTCTGCGTGATGCATTGATATAAAAATCCTTTGTGAGATCAGAACATACAGGAGGAGATTGAAATAGTTTGGAACTATGCTTGAGGCTCACTGGTGTGCACGAGCTGGGAAGAAACATAGCTTGTAAACCAGGCTGCCTAGATTTTGAGGCATCTGTGGCCGAGTGGTCTATGGTCTATAGCATCACTTGGGGAACTCGTGCCAGACTTCCCTGACATGGTTTCGAATCCTGCTGACTGTAATTATATATATATATATATATATATATATATATATATATATATTATATATATATATATATAATATATATATATATATATATATATATAATGTGTGTGTGTGTAAAGGGGTTATATTTTATATTACGTCACTCGCGTAGTTCGTACTTAAAATATTTCACGTAGATATATAACTTCCATAAGTATATGCCTGTCAGTTTTTTTCTCCTGACTGATATGTAGATTCCACATTGCTCAGTCGTACTGTAATTTGATAGCCAACATGCACTCCAACTTTTTTAAATACAATATCGAGATATTTTGCCGATGGAATATTCAACGATATAAAACGTAGTATTATCTACATATTTTTTTTTACTAGCGTATGATAATTGCAGTTTAAACAATGTTGTTTTGATGGAGATTTGTGGAAAGTAACGATTTGTAGTGGAAATTACGTTTGTCATGTGATTTGTAGTCACTGTTATGATTTGCAGTCTTTAAGAGAATTTGCACTCAGTAACTGGTTTGGAGTCACAGTGATGACTCGTAATCTACGTACTGATTTGTGTTTGGTGTTCTGATTTGGGCTTGTTGTCCTGATTTGTGTTTGATGTCCTGATTTGTGTTGTTCTAATTTGTATTTGTTGTCTTGATTTGTGTCTGATGTCATGATTTGTGATTAGTGTACTGTTTTGTCGTCAACGTAATGATTTGTGCAACGCTTCTCCACTTAGTGGCTTCATCAATTCAATACAGAAAACGGTAGATGATGAGAAGTTTGGGGTAATCAGTCCCTCAGTGTGGAGTCGATGTGTTCAGTCCTGATAAAAGTACGACATATGAGCGGAGAAGAGACTTATATACTCCAGACAAATGAGGTGAAGCAGTGGTAGGCTGCATTACCAATGGAAAAATCCACCAACCTAGGCATGCCTAGGTTAGGTGGTATATAAGTCCCTTCTCCACTCGTATGTTGTTCTTTTGTCAAGATTGATGGACTGAAGACATCGACTCAGAGCCGAGGGACTGATTACCTCAAACTACTACTCGTCTTTCTCCGCTCTTCTCTGTGTTGGACTGATGAAGCCACTGGCTGGCGATAAGTTATTACACTAAAGATACTAAAATGTTTCACAGATTTTACTCATTAACTTGTCAGTTTCCTAAACC